CACCTGAAACTAATGCAATATATCCATTATATCCCAAGCAAACAATCTCTAATAATATGACATGTACCTCCTCTAACAATAAGTTACACATTAATTGTTGAAAAATCCAAATTTGAACAGTCAAGCTAATGTATACAATTTAGTTGTTTCATAAACTTTAAAAGTGGTGCATCCTGGCCTTGAACTTTGGGATCCCGTGTTAGAATGCCAGAGACCATCAGTGGTTTGCAACCCAAACTTTGACAAATGCTGCCATGGCAGGAAAATGAGGGAGGTAAAGGATGGAAATGCCATAAGTATGACTTTCAGTATTAGAAGGGCTATGAAGGGAAGAAGAGCAACGACTTGGAACTAGTGATGAATAACCAGAAGAATGCAGGGCCAAGCCTCTTGGGTTATGAAGAGTAGTAGAATAACCAATGCCTTTAGAGTAACCTGTAAGAGAAGCAGTGGTAAGAGCTAAGTTTCAATTATGTCTTGGAGATGAAGAATTCTGTGAAAAAATTCAGAATGGAAGATAATTTATGGCACAACTGAAGTGTGAAGGGCACAGTGATAACATTGGTGAATTGGAAAGAAAAGAAAAAAATGAATACATAGAAAAATAGTGTATTTCTTTAAAAAATAATAAAATGAATGAATAAAAATAAAATTGATAATTTTAGATTTACATTTTTCTTTCCCCCTTTTTCTTAATGGAGTTTAGGTTGGAATCACTGTCTCCTTGCCTATTCTGCCACAGTCATCTTTCAGCTCCTACCCTGATTACTACAACTACTTTCTAACTGGTCCCTCTATCTCCAGGTCTATCTCCACCAAACTCTTTCTCCAAAGTGCAAAGGAATTATCTGTATTACATGTAAACATGAATGTGTCACTCTCTTAGTTGCATTGTATTTTAATTATTTACTATTTTCTTCCCAATGTAGTGTAAGACACTTAAAAAGGTATAAGAAGAATTTTACACTCATTCTTTCCTCCTTGTCCACTGTTATTTCTCCTGAAATTTATGGGCCATCATGTCTAATCCTTGATGTCTCACATCCCTTTGAATTGCTCATGCTGCTTCAGACAGCAGGGAGCTGTGTTACCTGTTGACAAAGTGTGAGGAAGAATATGGGATACTTGCCCTAACCGGTTTTGCTCAGTGGATGGAGCATTGGCCTGTGGACTCAAGGGTCCCTGGTTTGATTCCGGTCAAGGGCATGTACCTTGGTTGCGGGCACATCTCCAGTGGGGAGTGTGCAGAAGGCAGCTGATCGATGTTTCTCTCTCATCGATGTTTCTAACTCTCTATCCCTCTCCCTTCCTCTCTGTAGAAAAATCAATAATATATATATATAAAGAATATGGGATACTTAATGTTATAGGAGAAAGACCTAATTTATTTTTAAAAGTTGTCATATTTAAAGAAATGGGTTAAGGTACATTGACCACATATGCAAATAATTGTGATAGTGGATGAATTTTATAATTTCTTCTTAGAAACCTTGATTCTGCAGCTTGTATTAAATTGGACACTTTACCTTTCCATCAAGCCAGTTTGCAAAGAATGTAAGTTGGGAATAATATGTTAATACACATTTCATAGAGTACTCAAGACAAGTGAATCAAGTACGGCGTGTGAAAGAGTTTAATATGCCAGTAAGTAACAATTAAGGAGAAATAGCCGTATCATAACAGAGCCCTGTGGAAATAAAACTGTATTTCTGCATCTGCCATAGTTCTATTTTGCATTTACATACTACTCTACAATGCAAGATGCCCAGAAGAGTTGTAAAAGAAGATAAAGCATGTATCTTCATCTTGTGTTAGGTCATTTTTCAAAATAGGGATTCACAATCCTACTGTGATATTTAAGGTTTTCTTAACAGGCGAGGAAATAAGTTTCAGACAAGCTTTCTCAGACTGCATTATGCTGCTCTGCAGAGTAGCAGCAGACTGACATTTATTAACGAGGACAACCAAAACAAAAGACTTCTGCAGAGTCATAGCCCATCGTTAAGAATGCCCATGGTTCGGGATAGCTGTAATGACATTATTGAGCTCTCCTGAGGCATCCTGCTTCTAGAAAACTAGCTTCCTTGAGGACATTGGAATTCACACAGACAGATGCAGTACCGTTTTGAAGACAAGCAATCCCAGTTGTGACAGAAGGCACCCAGATGCAAATAGAGAGATGTACAGTTTCTTAGCTAACCTTCACAATTTGGCAAGAGTGCAGCAGAAATGTTCCACCGGTGAAATTCTAAAATTCAACTGGCATATTAAGAGTCAAAATAATAGCAATGCTTATGGGTGAATTTGTACATTTATATTCCCTAGGTGAAGAAAAGCATAAGATACATAAAACTTAAGCAGGGCTGGCAAGAGTAAGCAAAGAATGTAGGGTTTGTTAACATAAATAAATTTTAAAAAGCATTTGAAGAAAAATAAGGTCCTGTTGCTTTTACTGTTCTGATCATTTTGTATCAAATTCTGTTAAAATTGTGCATTTGTAAGTCATAGGATATTTTAATAATCTCAAACCAGCTATATGGCCTATTTTTCTTTGAGTAGAAATAACTGCTATCTTAGGTTAGACTTCTCAGTGTAATGAGTCTTTGAAAGCCTAATTAGATTATCAGGCTTCCGGAATCTAAAATGCATGACACCTATTACCTTAATTAAGCATGTAAAATAATTCTGTATGCATCTTTATTTTCAAGGAAACTTTTTTTCTTGATAGACATCAGTTAGCAAAATAATCTATCACTTTCTTTTCATACAACTTTGCTCCAATGCTGACCCCACCAACCCCCCCCCCCACCACAAAAACCTGCATAATTACATGACTTAAAATCCAAAACCAAGTATTGATTATTTTGTTTAAAATATAATTTATTTAATCGTAGAGGTGAATTATACTGATACTGAATGTATTATCCATTTAAGAGGAATAACATTTGTTAAGAACTCTGGAAATCTAAAAGTCCATTCCCCAATGTCTACATGCAAAAAAAAAATTGTAATTCAAAGATTTTATTTCCATATCCTATGATTTCTAATGTTATATAAAAGCATTATTTACTTGAAGGCATTATGAGCCTTCACTCTCACGAGGTAAAAATTAAATTGTTGGCTGTCGGGTGCCATTTATGCAGTCAGAATACAATGGGCAAAATGTGGAACCATTATGAAGCTATAAGGAAGAAAACAATATTGACTCTAATGGACTTTTGATTGCCAGTTTGCTATATTTTTGGTTTCCATTTTCCCTGTGAAGTGTGTGCTACTTAAAGGGACACATGCATAGCTATGAGCACTAACAGTAATGTTATATCCAATAATTACTTGATACAAGTTCCCTGACCAGAACTGAATTTTGATTTTGACTAATGTATGCTAATATGATTTAAATTGCACAGGACTGGAAAATGGTTGATTTTATGCCATTAGAAAAACTACTGGTCTTAATTTCATAGGATGAATTATTCCCAGGTTTTAAAGATCTTGCACCTAAGGGGTTTACAGGCTGAATAGATTTGGTTTTAAAAGTAGCAATTAAAACAAAATTTTAAGCTAATATTTTAAGACATTTGCTGTAATCTCTAAAAATAATCACTCCCATTTGGCTTATTTTGTATTCCGAAAAAGGAATTGGAGATTTGATTCTACTTGCAAAAGGATTTGTCTTATTTCAGTCTATCCCAGGCTGATGTTTTCAAGCTTAAAATCCAACCGTAAAAAGTAAATGTTTATTAAATATTTATTAAAAAGTTGCCCAATTTATCCTTTAAGCAGAATTTCTTTGAATCATATTAGTAAAAATAAATCCAGAATCATTTTATTTCATAGAGGCCTCCAGAGTAAATTCTAGAATCTTCTTTTTCAATGCATCCTTGGACTTAATGACTCCACTAACAGGAAATTCTGATATTAAAAATAAAAAAAAGATAAATATCAGTCTTGAAAATCCCCTGAGAAGATAAAACCAGTTGAATCATACAAATAAAACTTAATGTAGCTTATTTTGCCAGACTAACCTGGGCCATTTCTTGCTTATTTCTCTGGGAATCATAAGCAAAACGTGAACTGTTTCCTGAAGTTGATATGAGATAACAACTGAGAATTATAACATCGTAACCAATCAGTGTGAAGAATAATCAGTCACTGCTGTCTCACCACATAAGCTGTTTTACAAAAATATACACTGGAGCCTCATTCCATGTTTTGGTTTGAGTGCTCCTGGTTTGAAAACTGTCTTTTTCACGTGTGGACAATAAACTTTTACTAATCACTCCTTCAGCGATTCATTGCTTTTACTTTTGCTATTTCTGAACTTTTGCCACTTACATGAACTATAAACTCTTTGTGTTCCAATCTCAACACAGGTCCCTGATGGCATCCTCTGCAGAAATTGAGAACAGCTGGCCACCAGCCTTTTAAATAACCTTTCATGTACTTGAATTTCATTGCTAAATTTTTCCTAAGTCAATAAAGGAACCTATTTGTAAAAGTTCCCTGGTGAGGTCTCTTAGGCTGCCCAATGTTATTAAAATAACATTTTTTCCTATATATACAAAACAGAAAATAGACTTAGCTTTAGAAATTGTATGAAAGGCTATTTTTTTAACCACTTCTCAGGACGCTTGTTAGATATACTTATGAATTTTACCTTAACAATAATAGCTTCTAACTTCTGTGTGTAGTTTTGTTGTGGATGTTTGTTCCCTGGGCATCAGCCATTTCTATCGTCCCCTTTTGATACCAACTACATGTTTCTTTGGAATTCCCTCCTCTCCTATTCTCAGCCTTTCTTTTCAGGTAGATGGACTCAGAGGTGACCCTTTGGGCTTCACATCAATCATTGGATTTCTCTCCTCGACAGCCCACCCTAATATCATCCCATTAATTCATTGATGAAAATGTGGTTACATGACCCAGCTCAGGCCAGCGACACACAAGGATATATTTGCCTGGCGCCTTTGTAAAAGTGTTTTCTCTTTCTCCTCTAATAGGACCAGAACAGATGCTCTCTTTCCTAAGTGGCATGGACCGAGCAGTTGTAGGAGGGACCCGCACCATTGCGTCTATGAGAGCAGCCACCCTGAAACAAAGCTGCTTACACAGAGAGCAGAGCCTAGAGAAAAGTATCATGAATCTCTTGATAGAGCTGCCCTTAAAGTCAGGCCTTCCTCTGGGCTGTTCCATTATATTAAAATGTACACAGAGTTTTATTTTTATATAGTATGCATTCACATATATTTTTGTTTGTTTAGGTCAATGCTATTGGCTTTTCTGTCACTCAAATAAAAGATTAATTCACAAATATTCTAGTTAAGCTTTTCTGGCTTGTACAATTGATTGTCAAATAAGACCCACCTAATAAAATTTGGGAAAATATTAAAAACATATGTATTCTCAATATTAATTTCTCTAAATGCTAATGGTATTCATCATTCCTCAGGAGTACTTTTTTTTCTCTTCTAACTACAGAATTCCAAAAATAATGACTATGATTGAATTCTTCAAAAGAACAAATGGTTATAATCCCTCAAACGTGTCAATCTCAAATTAATGCATGTGCTGAAGACCTTTATATGATTAGATGCAAATAAGGCATCAATTAAGTCATTATTCATTAGTACTAATGAGCATGTGATTCAGGCTTATTTCTCAAGTAAAAGGAAATAAGTGACTAATCTGTGAAAAGAGGGTGCCTACGGGAGGAGATTCCTAAGCACCAGGCATTGCAGTGATGACGGGTGTGGGCACCTTTGGATCGAAGTTTCCTAAATCCTACTGATAACAACAATGTGCATAGAATGTATCTATAGGATACAGAACACTTGCCATGGAGGAGAGGCCCCTGGGGAAGGCACTGAGCAGCCCAGGAACGGAGTGGGAGGGAGGTGACATTTCACTCCATTTTCTCCTGTACCTTCTCAATTTTGAGCTCGTGCAGGTATGACCTACTCAAAAGTAAGAATTTAAAATGACAAAAAAATCACCAGTTATAAGGCAACCATCTACACTAATAAAAGAGAAACATGGTAATTAGCGTACGACCGCTACCCTTCCCATTGGCTAATGAGCATATCCTTATGCAAATCAACTGACAACTAAGATGGCCGTTAACCGCAAACAAAAATGGCGGCTAATTTGCATACGGGAGGTGAAAGGGGAAGTACTGAAAAATGGTGATCGGCAACCCAGGCGGCAGGTAAGAGCTAGGGGGTGGGCAAAGGCCGCCTTCCCCCACCCCCCAGCTGGTGATCGTTATTGGCATCAGAGGGCGGGAGGGCCCGGCTGGCCTGCGCGGAGTGATCCCCTTGGCGATCGGAGGGTGAGAGGGCCCGGGCACAGGCCAGGCAGCAACCCCGGACCCCACTGGGGCTGGGGTTGCCGGCTGGCCTGCGCGGATCCCCATGGTGATCGGAGGGTGGGAGTGCCCGGGCGCAGGGTCCGGGGTCCAGGGGCCCTCTGCCAGGCGTACAGCACTGCCTACTGGCTGATTCAGGGCCCCAGCAGCCCCAGCACCAAGGTGGTGGGCCTTGGGGCTGCTGGGTACAGGCCCCCCCGCTGCACGGAGTGATCTCCTTGGCGATCGGAGGGTGGGAGGGCCTGGGCGCAGGCCAGGCAGCAACCTCTGGACCTCACTGGGGCTGGGGTTGCTGGCTGGCATGTGCGGATCTCCATGGTGATCAGAGGGTGGGAGGTCTCGGGCGCAGGCCAGGCGGCAA